AATTGGTGGGCTCCATAGAAAATCGTGCGTCACTCATGTGTATGCTGCGCACTTCCACCTCGGTCGATAGTTTGCGGGAGCTGCAGGCCCGTGATTCAGACGCATGTGACTAACATGCAAAATTGATTTCACTAAATTGATATCTTTATTGGTCCTGATGGTGTACGCAGAATCTCAAATCGGTTGACTGTTGAACTAAATGTGGTATTGGCAATAGTAATTTGTTAAATCAATCTGCCTAACTCCCTCATGCGTCCAAACTGTTAAATCATTTTGTCCAACATGGTAATCATTTATCCCAACCTGTACCCATAATGTCCAAAATGTTCATCGTTTCTCCCAACCTAAATCTGATATGTGCAAAATGCTCAATACTTCTCAGAACCTATATCGACTGACCAATTCGGTTTGATGATTGTCCAATTCAATTTTCGTTTCTCCAAATCGCTTCACCTTAATCCCAACTTATCTGGTCAAAGGAGTGTTTTTTCTAGTTTTTATTATTATTATTTATTTTTAGTATTTGATTTTTATTTCAAATTTGGTAAAGAATTTGGAAGTAACGTTGGGACAAATGTTGTTTAGTTTATTCTTCTGCATAACATATATTGTTTTCAAATTTTTTGAAATTCTTTTTTTTTTTTTTTTTTGGTCCGCGTTCTGCCAAACGTGTCGAGAGGGGGTGCTGGAAGTTCGGACGTTCGGCTCGTCCTGTACAAATATTACTTGTACGTCTCATACGGAAAGGCCCCGTACGTGTATGTTACGCAACATAGTATATGTATATATATATATATATATATCATATTTTATATTTCAGTTTCTTTAATGTTCGTGACTAATGACTTGGTTGCACAAACTTATGGCGTGACAAACCTTCGTTTGTGTGTCCCTAAAAAGTAAACATAAAACCGGACACACACACACTCACAATGTGTTTGCCTCTATCCAACAAAGTTCATCCTCCATTAAAAAAAAACGAGTAATACAGGCAACCGAACCATCGATCTTATGGAAAGGTTCTGCCTTTGAAGATCAAACAGACAACCCAAAAAAAAAAAAAAAAAAAGCACAGAGTCAACGCACTTAGAATGGGCTCAACCTGTGTTGACCTGATTAGACGCAAGCAAAACCACCCTTCCCCCGTTCGTTTTCTATGACTCCATGTAAATAACATGAGTTTCCACAAATAAATCATTTACTTTAGTTTAATTTAAGTTCATAATTAAAAGTAAGCAAATAATAATTAGTCATCAATCATACTTCAAATAACTAAAAAGTAATACGGCAGGGGGAATATGGGATCACTCGTGTAAACCGTTTGTATACATGGGTGTTCCCTGCCTCTGAAACCCCGCCTAGACTTTGGTAGAGCTCTCGCATTCAGTGGGTTAACCTCCACAAGCCTTGATGCATTTTGGGCGATTGCAATACTACACGTCGCCTTCCTCTCCGGAATGTTTGGACTCCATTGAGACTTAAAAAGACTGAAGAAGAAACGTTAGTCTTTCAAGGTACAAGAATAGGTCACTGAGACTCTCGTGAAAATGATATTTGTTGTCTTCGACTCCTGAGGGCCACAATAATGGTCAATCGCAACTTGAAGTTGACTGGTCACAGACGGTATAGTAACAACACTGTCATAACGACAACTTCTAAGTAAAAACTCACTGACGCAACCGTAGGAGGACCGGAACACCAGCCTTAATCGCAGTAGCATTGTTGTTCGACTAAAAAAAAAACATCAGCAGCTTCAAACTCCGTCACGGAAGCAGCAATTTGATGAGGAGGCCAACAATAATGCTCAACTGCCCACCAGCAACAGTGTTTGAAGACACAGTAGTAACGTGATCTCAACAACAACTGAATCAAACTAGGAGCAGCCTAAAAGTAGCATCAACCCAAAATGACATTGTCATTCTAAAGAATGCAAGCTATGCCCTATCTAAAAACACATACCGCAACTCATAATGCACAGGCTTTGAATGGTTGTAGCCATAGCAGTTTTGCAAAACATCCGCAACACCAGGACCCATGCACCGCAAGTCTCAGTGACAACTCTATTTAACTTGAAACTCAGTTGATAGCAGCATGGATCATCACCACCGGGTCCATAGAATCTAAAAAAAGATCCTAACATGTTAATCCTTGCTATGTCAGACAAATCACTCTACCAACTAAGAACGGTCATGCACTCTTTTAGTTAGGTGTATCTGCTTGTCACCATTCAACCAGTTACTAGGTAAGTCAAGTACTCCTTTTTCAGCGTTTCCCTCCCCCCCTTCGACTTACTACTACTCTCTTTTCCCACTCTGTAGTTCACACGCACGCCTGATGTCGCACCTAGCTCAAAACTTCGATCAAGCTCATTTAGTAAATAATCACACCCGTCAATTGCAAAGGTGGCCACAATGATAAGAAAACCACGACTTTGAATGTGAAGGTCGCTGCTAGCACCACCTTCGCCGCGAAAAACACCACACGGAAAAATACCAACTGCAGCCAAACACGGAGCATGATTGCCCTCCTAACACGACTACTACCAGCAGGGTTTCTGCTATGAGCAGCAAAGGGCTCACAGTGACGAATACGAGTTGTAGTTGTGTAACCATTAGCAACAGAGCAGCCACGTACAACAACACAATCCACGAGCCGCAATCCGACTATCACACCCTCGTGATGACATCGGCAAGGCGATACCGATGACGAAGGTGATGCTATTGTCAAATGAAAATGACCATGATATTGGTGAGCATCTCTCTCTCTCTCTCTCGCGCGCGCGCTGCTTCGCACGTATTCTGACTCTTGCTTATTCGCTACCCCGTTTGATCGCATGTAAACTCCCTAACCTAAAACACAGAAAGATACATTGTCAGACTTCCTACAATGCTACGCTCGTTTTCAAATGACCAAATGAGAATGAATTTTTTATATAGCATGGAAAGGTACAATACCAAGTAGAGAGAGAATATGCCTCTATGGTATGACCTGATGCAGCTTTTTTCGATCAAGACCCTGGGCAAGGCTAAGATTGGAATTATGAGCAACGCCTATATCCTAAGTACTATGGGCACCCTTCCTGGTACTGAAGTTTTTTTTTTTTTTAGCCTGAAGGTTGAATAGAGACGTAGGGGTTTCCCTGATTTCTATTTCGACAACGCCCTTATCCAGTGTAGCAATAAGATTGGAAAGGCCTGGGCCTCATGGGTCCGCTGCTTTACGGGTTGGAAGCGTTGGTAGGCCCTATTTTTCGTTCCCCTTTGACTTCCATTTGTTTCTTTTCCTTTTTTTGTCTCAGTCTCCCTCTTCGTTTCCAAGTATAAGTAGGTAGTCTAGTTTGTTCATCGTATCCCAGCGTGACCCCTGAGGAGTGTCGGTCCTGGCGCCGACCGAAATAACTGTCGGGTGAATGCCAGTTGTGCTTCATGGATATCGAGGTTACTGCTAACTGATGGCGAGTACCACCAACTCTTTTTATATGCGCTTATTGTAATATATTTTAAAGTTGATGCGCTCGGGGGGTTCTTCGTCTTGTGTTTATGTAAATCCTTCTTCTTCTACCTTCTACCTACATTCGTCCCTTTCTTTGGCATTACGTGTTTTCACACTTGGCTATGCCGATTGTATGGAGATTTACCTCTATTGCGACATACATATAGACAAATGGCGGGGGTTAGTACCCTGTTAGAGTGACTATGTTATTCGACTCGGGTACACATGTGCACATTCTGCATTTGGTTTGCATTTCGCGCTTGTTTCTTTTCATTTCCCTCCTTTCTCCCTTATTACATCGTCTTGTTTTTTCTTCATCTACCTCCTCTTTGTGCTTTGATAGAGTGGTTTCGTTTCTACAAAGGACGTGTCTAGTCCCTTCCAAAATGTATTGTCGGCCGGTATGTCATTTTTGTCACTTACCTGGGCATTTCATACGTGAATGTCCGTTCGGAAACCAACCGAACTGAGCAGAGAAGGCGGCAAGTATCGGGAGTGATATGTCGAGCTCTTCTGGTGCTTCGTTTTCGAGTAACTTGAATGGCAGCGGGAGTGAAATTCTTCCTGCACCCGCTCAGGGTGGGGAACTTCGAATGTTATGGTCCCGTATCAACCTCCGCAGAATACAACAGAAAAATTCCCACAAGAAATGAAAGTTTAAAAATATTTTATTAAAAAAAAACGTTCATATTTAAAAATCATCATTCCAATATTCGTCCAATTTTAAAAATTTCAGTAGTATTTGATAAGTCCCGGTCTAAAAATGAATTTTCCTTTCCAACTATATCTATTTGTTGAAGATAGAATGAAAGTTTGGACGAGTTTATGAAATGTCTTTATTAAACTTTAATTATACTACAACAAATACCTTCGAATTTAAATTCGATTAACCTATTTATGATTGAAAATCCTTATACAGAATGAAAGTGTAATTCAAATATTTCATAAAGTCGTCAAAACTTTCATTCCATCTTTAGCATGCAATCTAAATAAGAAGGAATACTTCATTCTTGGAAGGGAATTTTTCAAGTAAGACTGAAAATTTTAAAAATGGAATGATATTTTTTAGATGGAATGAAAATTTGAAATTTAAAATGTAATTTTACTATAGAATGATGATTTAATTCTTGGAGTTTTTTCTGTTTTTGGAGCAATGGGGGCAATAGTTAGTACTCTAATGGAGGTAATTAGTATAACGATAATGAAAACTTCAATGGAGGCCACAACGGAGGTTATAAAAGTGGTCAACGAAATTCAAGACCTTGAAATGGTGGACATAGGGATTGTGATAAGGATGATAGGTTTAATCAAATTTGTGGTTTATTGTCTGAGCAAACTGAGGAGAGTGAGCAATGGAAAAGTGAGGCGACACGTTTGGTCGCCTTAGAAGAGGAGAAGAGGAGACTGCAGGCTGAAGAGGAAAAATGTGTTGAAGAGAAGAAGGAGAGAGAATTACATGAGGCGAGATTGGGACAAATCGTTTGGTAAAGTATGAAAGTGGTTTGTGAATCGGCCTTGGGGCAAGTTGAGGAAGGAGTTGGAGGATCTGAAGGCCAAGTGAAGTGGTGACACAGTTATGACAAGTCTTGAAGCTCTGCGGAGAGAAAAAAAAACCTTGCAGAAGATGCAGGACGTTGGTTATGAGGAGCTGAAACTGCGCAAGGAAATCGAAGATCTCAAGGCAAAGGTCAGTGCGGGTCAAAAGGCCACCAGCAGTGATGAGGTTGTGGCCTTAAAGCTGCAAGTCACCGAACTCAATGGTTTCTGCAAGGCTCTAGAGCAGAAGAACTCTGGGGTGGTATCTCTCCGTGCTGAGAATACTCACCTTCGTGATGACTTCAAGGACCTGCTGGAGGAATTTCTACGTCTTCGTAATCTGGAAAAATGGAGTAGTGCCGAGGTCATGGAGAGGAGTCCGCCGGAGGCACCTTTACGTGGTAAAGTAAAAGTGGACGCCATGTACACTCCGAAGGACATGGATGGGCTTCATAAAGCCTACAAGGAGACACTGAGTAGTAAGGAGATAGCTCTCAGAGAGGAGGAAGCGCTCAAAGAGCGACTTACAAAGGTGGGTGCATCCAAGTATCAGATGTCAGCACGGCGGTGTAAAGCCAAGAGGACAACACTGAGGAATTTTAAAACTGCTAGGAACGTAGTGGAAATTGAGTCAGATGGTGACCAGGAAGTTGCGAGACTGATGTGGATGTGAACCCAGATAAAAACCGTAAGATTGTGGATGTGGCTCATGAACTAGAAGAGGCAATGATGAAGAATTTTAGGGAGAAGAGAATGAAGGAGCTGAGGACCGGGAAGAAAAATGATCAAGAGGACTGTTGTAAGGAGGAAGGCATAAGCTACATGAAGCTTGACCAGGCTAAGACAGATGTTGCGGAGATCCGAGCGCGAAGAGATTATGATGAATGGTTAAAAATGAAGGGTTCACAGGATGATGATGACCAACAACATGACTATGCTACATCAACGGAGGAGATCAACGGTGAATGAGGAGGCGCCTTGAGTGCATCACACCTCTAGGATGTAGCCTTACTCTGTCGTGATTATCGAGGGTCACTCCCTTATGACGAGATTTCTTATATCTTCCGTCTTTTGATTATCCTGTTGATTATAGCGGGCGAGATCAGGTGGGGTAATAAATTTCGAAACCTTTTTTTTTTTCTGCTAATTAAGTCCCAATATGATTTTCATGCTTGTCCAGGTCATGTTGTCTATGCTATTTTCTCTCCTTGGCATCGTATATTGGCTGTACTTCTAGGTGTATTGATGTTAGATGGAAAGAGCATATGGTTTCTACGTTGTTTACTGGGAAAACTAAAACTAATCGTAAGTTGTATCGATGGTTTGGGCGAGTAAACTTGGATAGTTATGTTGCTATACCGATTTTTGTATCCTCTCCTTCCGACTTGCTCTCTTTGAAAAGTTATTTATCAGGTCCTTCAATCCTTCTCCAAACACTTCTAAACCACAACGTCGGAAAAAATCTTCTAGACTTGGCCGAAAGGAGCGATTACGGTTGCGTCGTCGTCTTCCTATGCTTTCCTACTATTTTATGAATACTGCTTCCCTTTCGTTTCTGTATTCCCCTCCCTCCTCCTCTTTTTTTCCTCCTACCCTTCTTTTTGTCCCACTTCTTACCTTTCTTCGTGTTACACCTATTAATTCTCGTAAATCCAATCCCCTTTCCCAATTGTCTCCCCCCCCTCCTCCTTCTCCCCCCGTGCATCACACCTCTATCTCTCTCAAACCAAGGTCCAATATTCCCCTTGTGTTCAATTCCTCCATTGGATTCACTTCTGTCAGTCTAATCAGGATTCTGCAAAACAGTCTTGATTCGGATATTATTAATCCCTTTACCATTTCAGTGGTCTCTGGGTATGCCCTCACCGATAAGTGGAAGCTTGTAAGACGTTTTTTTTTCGGATCATCTATTGTTTCGTCTAACGATAATCCTATCCCACTCATTAAACATTGTCGCTCATGGTTTGTGACTGGTGCGACTATTGTTGTCCATAAGATTTGTAGATTTTGTTCTAAATCCTTGCCTATTAAAACCACTCTGGTTCGTTTTTTATGTGATCCAGCATCACGAAGGATATTAAATGATTGGAATTTAGGTAGCTACATCGCTGCCTATGATGGTGTTCGCTCTCTCTCTTGTAAGAAGTCTCGCTCCACCCTTAAACTTACTTTTTTCCATGCTTGTAGGAGGAATTTCAATCGTTGTTTGTCGGCAAGATTGGTGGTTAAGATCATGTATGATTAAGGTCTGGTCAGAAAGGAGATTCGGGATGCATGCAAACAGATTATAGGTCGAGTTAATCTTCCCCCCGTTTTTCTTGATCTGGTGTATCGTCGATTTAGATTAGTTTTTACAAAAAATAAGGTTGTCGGTGACTTACTTTATAATTACAAGACGTATGATGTTGGTACGGAACCTTGTTGTGTATGTGCTACACTTGATAAGGTATTTCCACATAGAGACGGGCATGTTTCGTTAAGATTCAGTCAGGTTGAATTTGTCCCTGCTTACTTGTGCAATTTAAAAAACATGGTGCGTCCGCACTATGCAACCAATCCATCTAAGCTTTGCACACAAATTAGCTCTTCTTTGTCTGAGTTTTTCCATAAGGACGTGGTTGTCCCTCTTTCATCTGTTTCTGGATGTATTCGCGATGGGTCTTAGTTGTGGTGTTCAACTTTCTTCCGATGATATTCTACGATGGAAGGACGGGTTTCGAGGGTTGGTCCTTTGCCTCCTTGATTATAATATGGGGGACACTTATGCTTGCTGTCCAGGGATTTATGGACAGGAAATGTGTAAATTATTCGGCAATAACACAGGAATGCATTGCATGGTATGAAGAGTGTGTGGTATTGTCAAACTTTAGTAAGTAATATAGGAAGGAGAAGTTATGTCAGTTGGCCCCTTGGGCAAAAGGAGGGAAGTTGGGTCGTTCGTACATATTGCCTAAACATAAGGATGTTGACAAATGACGCCCAATTTGTTCGTCGACACGGAAAACAGCACGGGTTACTTCTAAATGTGTGAATGAGTTGATTAGAAGAATTCTCACGGTTTGTCACTTCAATCTTAGTAGTACTTAGATATTGTCAGTTTTTCTTGGAAATATCAATAAGGGTGTTAAACAAGGAGAATTGTTATTGGGTCGTAGTTACAATGTGAAGGAGTTGTTTTGTCATCTTCCTCATCAGGCTATTCTTCTGCCGGTTGAATCGGCAGTTAGTCTGCTTGAAGAACATGGATTCTTTAAGTTTCTTTATTGTGCTCGTAGGAAGCGTGTTTGTTTTAGCCGCATAGCGATTAGTGAAGTGGGATGCAAATCGGTGAAATTTTCGTTGCTGCTTCGGTTCATCTCCTTTGACTTGAAGAATACTTTTATCATAGCTATGGGAGGTGTTGTGAAACAGAACATGGGCATTCTGATGGGTAAGGTTTCGAGCCTTACACTTGCCTGCTTAATGTGCATACATAATGAGTTCGTCTTTCTGCGAGGACTGGGTAATGATGCCAAGTTAGTTAAGGGTTGTCGTTTGGTTGATGATGTTTCCTTATTCATCACAACACGAGGCAGCAAAGGAAAATCTGTTAAAAAAAATCAAGATGTTTTTAGTAAGTTTGAGAATTCTTGTTATGATGAGCATCTGACTCTGGAGCAGACCAACCATTCGGATGAGTGGCAACATCTTGGTTGCAGGCTGTTTGTTGGGAAGCAACCCGCAAAGATCTATTGCAAGTCCCTGCACAAGAATCAGGATTGTCTCCTGAATGGCGAGGGCATGATTTTTCAAAATCTACAAGATTTCAGTTCCTACTGCAGCAAAGAGCAAAAGTTTGCAGTTATTTCTTCCTTTCTACATAAAGCATATACTATGGGCACCCTTCCTGGTACTGAAGCTGGTTTTCTTTTCAGCCTGAAGGTTGAATTGCGACGTATGGGCTTCTCTGATTTCTATTTCAACAAGGCCCTTGTCCAGTTTAGCAATAAGATTGGAAAGGTCTGGGCCCCGTGGGGCCGTTGCTTTACGGGTTGGAAGTGTTGGTAAGCCTTATCTTTTGTTCCCCTTTAACTTCCCTTCGTTTCTTTTTCTTTTTTTGTCCCAGTTTCCCTGTTCGTTTCCAAGTATAAGTAGGTAGTCTAGTTTGTTCGTCTTATCCCAGCGCGACCTCTGAGAAGTGTCGGTCATGGCGTCAATCGAAACACTTATCGGGTGAATGTCAGTTGTGCTTCATGGATATGGAGGTTACTGCCAACTGATGGCGGGTACCACCAACTTTTTTTATATGCGCTTATTTTAATATATTTTTGAGTTGCTACGCTCGGCGGATTCTTCATCTTGTGTTTGTCTCAATCCTTCTTCTTCTACCTTCTACCTACATTTGTCCCTTTCTTTGGATTTAAGTGTTTTCACACCTGGCTATGTCGATTGCATGAAGATTTACCTTTATTACTATGGCCACGAGCAACAACTCAATTGACAACAAAGTGATGAAGTAATAACCTCGCTGACGGGTACAACGATCACGAAAGTAATATCATGGAGAGAGAACGTCAAAGACCTCGCAATCCCACGCACTAACATCAACGAAAATTACGAAGAACATCACCGGGGAGAGGTCCCGACCTTGAACATCACCGCCATAAGAAACACGGCGATAAAGAGCATGTCGAATAATTTTTCGATGACGAATACGACGATCAGCACCACATAGACAAGCATTTTGATGGAAAACAATATGGTCCCGACAATGACGATCAGACCCACGGTCTCGGTAACAAAGATCACAATGATGAAAGCTTTGATGGGTCACTCTTCACTACTTACAAATATGCAAAATAAAAATGAATCTCCCGCAAGGCCCTTAGAGAGGATCTTCCCTTAAAAGATAAAATCTTTTGTGGATGCTATAAGGTATGTTCGTTGTAAAAAACGACAAAAAAAAGAATCTATTGAAAGCAAAGGAAGGAATCTATTTTTTTTTTTAAATTGCAAATCTATTGCGCACCTTTTCATGCTATATCGGAAGATTCATTCCTTTTTTTCACATTTGGTCAGCGTCCCGAGTTGCTACATACTTGTACACGATCATATGGGTGACCCAGTCTATTTTTCCTATTGACCTCCTCCCACATGCCCCACTGAGCCCAACAGAGAAAACGGTATCGCATGAGAGCATCACGCAAGACCCGCTATTCACTTAAGGATAGTAAAGGATAAAAACATAATTAAAAGTTTTAAATGATGTGTTCAAGTATAATAATAAAAAAATTAGTTCATGTAGTTGACATGTGCATCCATGTTAAAGGGTTGTCGACTAAGATTGTCGTAGTATTACATCGTTCTTACTGTCTTGTTTTTCGTAACTTCGATGCGGTTTTCACAGTTCATTTTTCAAATTAAACCTTTGTTAGTATACTTGTGTATGGTTGTTTTTGGTATATCAATTGTATGATGTTTATCCTCCTTCCAGCTAGTTGTCCTCTTCGGCGAATAAAGTTGCTCAATCGTTTGTTAAGATTGTACTTCATTATCAACACCCATATAATTGTTAATAACCAAACTAGAGTTTGCATCCTGAGGAGATAAGCTCCGTAAAATCATATTCATAAAAAATAAATTGTATTATTTTCAAAAAAAAGGTATTACTTGTTGAGTGACCACACATGCAGTTGTGTGACGCAAGTCCATCACGTGATTGATTTGTTAATTAATTGATTGATTGATGTGTGTGGGATACATATATTAATTGATTTGTCAACTAATTAAACG